CGCACACTGACGAGTCCGAAAGGTCAACACACATCCCTGTACTTTGTAACATATATCCTAACCTAAAGCTTGATTATACGAAGAATCGCAGCAATTTTAATTCATAAAGACTCGGCGGATCTGATCCTGGAGTCCGTGTATGCGAAAGTCTATACTCTGCGACAACTTTTCTTGGCGATGCCGTGGAAGGTACAGGCCCGCGTTCCCTCTCCCGTTTTGAGTGTACGCAGGCTCTCCTCATCTCCCCATTTCCGGGGAGAGGAGGAGAGCCCGCGCACGCTCAAAATGGGAGAGGGGACGCGGGCCTGTACCTTCCACTGCATTGCCAAGAAAAGTTGTCGCGGAGTATAGTTGCCAGCTCCTGAGACCGATTTTTACCGATTCACTCGAGGACTCATTTCGACTCCGTATCGTTCAAAGCCAGAGCGCTGCCAGCACTGGGATCCGATGGAGTGAATTAGGTGAATAAAAGTGCATCGTCACGGCTCTCCTTTGTGTGTATTATATCACCGACTAAACCAATAAAAAGTTTCTAAATAAGAGCTTCCTACAAGAAGCAACATTCTTTGAAGAGCCGGCTGCGTGACGGTGCAGGTTCTAGAGAGTGAATGGCGGCGCACAGAAAAGGTTTAAAAATAATGACGCCATTTTGTTCTAGCGGAATGTGCTCTGTCATTTAGATTGGTTGTTGTTACTTGTAAAAGAAGCATCAAATGCTCCGGGCCCATCCCACAGGATAAATGCGTTGGTGGTTCTGCGCATTTTTGTGCGTGATTAGTTCAGCTGGTAATAACAAATCAATAATGAGAACGAGCGTCGTGACAATGCACTTTTGGCGCTGGTCAATTCACTCCCCCGGAGAGGAGCGTCGGGTGTGGCAGTATTTAAGGTGAAACGGAGGGGAACTGACAAATTTTGGCTTTTAATACCAATTTTCCGTCATTCAAAACAAATCTCCTAACTTACAAGTTCACTCTTATGTGGAGCTTCGGAGTTCAATTTTCTGAATGATTACTACTGAAGTATACACTATACTCTCTCATCTCCCTTCCTATCACTCTGTCACCTAAGCGTTTGTGTCTAAGTTAATATATTCAATCAACACGTAGGCAGTATATTGCAACTACCGGGCCATCTACCCTCATACGTGGGAAAGCTACTACTGGTTGAAGCTGAGGAAAATAGTTGGCTTATATTCTTGGATGATGTCAGCTGCATATTGATAAACAGAAAAATAGGCAACCGCTGGATATGAACTATATTGAAGCCTTATTCTTCCTTCACTGCTATCAGTATTTTCATCGTGGATTTAAGCCAGCTTCTTCTTTATTTATAAACCAGATTAAAGCCTTCTTCCTCCTCCTCTATCCTTATTTACAAACGCGTAGCTCCTTTGTGTCCTTGAGGACCTCCACAGAGACAGTTTCCCTTGCTGTTGCAGCGCCGGGGAAGGAGCACTGACGCATCCATCTTCATTTTCATCAATGTCCTTTGCCTCAAGAATTTAACGCGCAAGTTTTTCGTGTTTTTTTTTTTTTTCAGGACCTTGATGCTTTGCAAAATTGCAGTGCACCGGTATTCTCGGCAATGCACTGGTAGATGTCCCCGTGATGATATATTCCTTAATGAAGTAGCATGCTCCCTTGACCAATTACTGATGCAACGAACGGTTTGGCCGATGTAGAATCGACTACGGGATTATAGGATGTTATTTATGATTTATTTTTCAGACTGCGTCGACTTTCTCCTGTAAGTAGTGCCACAAACTTTGAAATCTCCAGCCTGCAGGTTTACCCTGCGACACATAAAATACGCCTTATTTGGCGCGCAGCACACCACATGGACGCCTTGCCGTCCGGCAGTCTTTTTTAATTGTAAGTGATGCCTCGATATAAGGCGCTATCACTAAAGGCTTTCGTGTTTTTTTTGCCTTTTTTCTTAGGGTTCCGCTTGATGTTGAATAAGGCATATTCTGTATCGCAGGGTAAACCAGGAGGGATATTTCAAACGATATTTTTTTTTACATTGCTTGCAGGACAAAGCACGCTTGGTCTAAAAAAGGAGTCCTTTACAACATCCAATCATGATGCGGTTCAAACGACATGGGCCGAACCAGTCGTTGCATCATTAGCCGGACAAGTGAACATGCTGCTTTATTAAGGAACATCTCAGCAGGAGAACATCTTTCAGTCCATTGGCGACAATGCCGGTGCACTACAAGTTAGCAAAGCATCAAGGTTCCGGTGAAAAACAGAAAAAAACGAATAAAAGATGAATGCGTCAGTGCCCGTTCCCTGACGCTATGGTCCCTAGAAAGACTGGCTAGGCCGCCGTCCACTGCCCCTCGGTGACTACTCCGGAATGAAAGCGCGTAGCGGCGTTGGAGAGCAATCGGCGTGCCAGAATTTGGCAGTTACCAAACCACAAACGATATCTGGAGAAAATATGACCGACAGAAGCAAATGAGCACTTTGCAAATGAATTATTTACACCTCCTAACATTCAAACGCCTCAACCGCTCTTGACTTCTTCTCCTCTTGTTGTTCATTGCTTTGGTGTAAAGGCGGAAAAAGGTGGATAAAGAACTTGAGTATGCGTGCTGTAATTGCATCTGCATGCACATCACAGCCTAGCAAAGGTAAATCTGTCCTTGTTAAGAAGGCAAAGAAGTCAACAATAATATTCGCAATCAGCTCGTTGAGACTGAAGAAGGTAGATAGTGGGGAAGGTAGCAGCTACAACAGCATGCCGATTGCGCGCAGCACCCCTTGATTTTAAAAATAATTGGAGAAGTTTCTTGGTGGGCAATTCTCTTTTGGATTGTGTATTGCACCAAGATTATAATCATTACCCTATTGAAAATTCCATCAAGGTACGTAATTTGGGACGCTGACTGCCAGTCAGCAGCCTTGGTGGGACGTGATGGACCATCAGACGTCATCTGATGGTCCATCAGATGACGTCTGACTGCCACTACCAAGGGAATTTCATCAACAAGGGCAGCATTTATACAAGAGTAAAGCTATACGCACTCATAAATATCGCCAAATGCCTCAATAAAACAAAATGTTCGAGAAAAAAAAAAATAAATCAGGACCACTGCGCATCGAACCCGCGACCACTTGCGTACAAATCGGGTACCTTAACCACTAAGCTATGCCTCCGCTTTGGAAACTCGATTTGACTAATCGTTTTATACGAGATGCTTCGGCTGCAAATGCAGTTAAGCCGTCAGCGTGTTATGCAAAGTACTCGTACATCACTCGCCGTACTTCAGTTCTACTCACCTGCCATGTAGAGTACTTTCGCGTCGTAGAACGATCCTTTTTTCGCGCGTCACCGGCCCAGTAGACCTGGTACACCTTGTCGTCTTCAACTATACCGCTAAAGTCCCTTACATCGTCGGTACTCACAACAGGCTGGGTCTTGTCGAGTAGAAATTCTACTAAAACATAAGACATTGTAGAGCCCGGGCAGGATCGACAGGTTGGAGCAAGCGGGCAAACAAAACGAGTCGAGAGCGATCGTTCATGAAAGCTCGGCGAAGTCTCTATGGGCGAAGCGAAGTGTCGTGTGTGTTCGGCGCTTCGGCGGGCTTCTGATCAAGGTTGTCGGTCGGTTGCGTGTCATATCTCTAACGTCAGCGGTTTTATGGGCTCACGTCCCGAAATCGTTTTCTCGTGCATAGATTACTTTTCGTATTCATAGATTTGACGAAATAGTGGTATCCGAACGAACTTTACGTCCTTTGACCATACGTCTGTCTGCACGTCAAAGCTGTTTGACGTACAGTCAGAGACAGTCAATGTACAGTCAGAATCGCCACCAAGACATCCTGATGGCATTTCGCGGCGGCCGACTGCCGCCAGGAAACCATCAGAAAGCCGACAAGCGGAGTCTGACTGGAGTTTGACTGTCGGTCAGAGTAACTTGTTGGCCAATCAGACATGCTTGACGTACAGTCAGGCACAGTCAGCGGTCCACTAGAAAACATTGACTGCCAAACAGGGTTACATTGATGGATTTTTCCTTCGGGTAAGTATAGCTACTTTCAAAGATATATATTTTCATTGTATACATTCATCTGAACTTCCGGTTGATGTTGACATATCGGAGGTACATAAGATTGCATTCTAGTTTTTTTTGTTTGTTGTTTCTGTTTTTGGTTTTTCACAGCCAATGTTACTGACGTATATAGTATTCTTTTACCAAATGAATGTAGTGTTTATTTTTCCTTGTTTCTTTGACTTATATTTTTATTTTATTTGAATTGTAAAATGTTTTGTAGAATCTGTTATTATGTACGTATTCTGAGCTGCTGAACTTTAGGGGGCAGAGGCTTTGTCAGGCGAACCTCGAAACAAATAAAGGAAAACAAATATTTCGAAAACATTTCATCTACAGCGGTGCCGTGCCGTTGCGTGGAGACGGGCGTTCAAACGGGAGACTAGCCAGTCTTTCTAGGGACCATACTGACGCTGCACCTGCTAGATAAATAGTTTCTGTGGGGGTCCTGAACGACACGAAGAGGCTCCGCATTTGTAATTAAGGATTGAAGTGGAGGACGGGGAATTCACTTCAGTTTGTTAATAAGGAAGGCAAGTTTGTAAATAGGAAAGAAGAGGACTTTGATCGAGGTTGTAACTACTAATCGTAGTAAAGGAAGGAGAAGGCTTCAATATAGTCGATAATTCAGCGGTAATCCATTTTCGTGTCTGGTAGTATTCGGCTGGCACCACCCAAGAATAGCAAAGCTACAATTAAAGTAATATTTTATTTAATCAGGCGGAAAATAATTTAGTTTTTCGATAAAATAGGAGCTCATGACGGACTTATATAATCTATAAATGGCAATTAACATAATTCACAGGGCTAACAGCATCATAATTTTCGGTAGGTGCCTCGATCGTTTATGACATCTATCACGTTCCGTTCATTGCCAAACGTGCCAGTGTTCTAGATGTTCATAGTCATATTTTGTTGTAATTGTACAGGTCTGCCAAGTAATCGCACCAATAGTTAGGGCACACATTCAAGATTTGGAAGAAGGACATGAGTACCTTGTACGGATTTATGCCTGGAACGAAGTCGGGATCAGCGACCCTTTGGAAACTCCCGAGGGCACAGTTATCATTCGGCCACCGGGTAAGTGAATGATAGAGGTTATTTATGAAACTCTACTTTTACGGTATCAGAACATTTTGATTTGATGAATCTACGTACTCTAGAAACGCTTCATTTTCAACTTTCTTGCGAAGCACGCAGAGGACCAATCACGATGAGTTCTGGGTTCTGTGCAGTGAATGAGGACGCACAGAATACGGTTTGGCTGAGCAGCTCCTTCCATGCACTGGCGAAGGGTCTGACGAATTTCAGGCTATAAATTCCTCGTGAGATACTGACATACAAAGAAAGGAATGACAAAAAGGGCGGTGAACCAACGACTCAATTTTTTCAACTGACAGCAAAACGTTCGTCTTGTCGTCAACGTCCTTTGTTGCTCTTATCTATATGGTTCATGATGTTATAAAGTGTTAGTATACGGTATTTGGCTCTCGGTAATAATATCCGATACTGAGCCCGGGCTCATGCAGATGCTTCGTATCGATGTAGGGTGTCATTGTCGCAGCCCAAAGCATTTTACCAGAAATGCCCTGTTAGGATATCAACATCTTATCGACGTATTTGAGTAATAATGTTCTGGGAATTTCATAATTCGCTGGTCGCTCGTCGTAGACTGCAAAGCCACGTGTTATTGAAGAAAGCAGAAGCAGGCATACCGGCTTTTCAGTAAGATGAAGAGGGTATATGAAGCTATCTAGTTTTCGGTTTAATTAAATGCTAGCGTGACGTTTAAAATGCGCACAGACCTTGAGCAAAGAGTGTTGTTGTCGCGAACTTTGTTGAGCCTTTTCATTTGGTGGACGCCCTATTGATACACTTTCACCAGCGTGTGTGCTCTTTCGCTGCAGAGCACTTGGAGACCCAACCACTGCTTTCTACAGAGAGAGAGAAAAATTGGTGAATCATATATATAAAATAAATGCAGACTTATAACTGTCTTCTACGATATGGCGACAAGGATATCGTTAGCACGTGAGACGTCATGATTGGAGTCACATCGGACCCTTTATTTTACGGTTATAAGCATATTTTCGCCATGCGTATTCGCCGAATTTTTTTTGTATACATCAGGGTGAGTGCTTTTTCGAGTGCACTAGGCCAGAGTAGACGGACGATGATTTTTAAGAATGTAGATCGCAGTGCGTTTCCCTTCGCATATGGTAGAAAAATAAAGAGCGAGAAAGGTTTAATGTTTTTGCCTGCATACATATTGAGATTATGATATTATCGTCAGATGAACTTTCTTCCATACCCTTGTTACAACCTGCCACTTTTTCACGAGGAATAAACGAATAGTGGCCGCTACTCAGGCTATAGCGAATTGATCAAGGGTGCCGCCATTTAAGAAAGCAACGCTGACGACACGAAACTCCTCTAGGCTACCACCTCTTCTCGTTGGTTCGCGCAGTGATTTTTTGTCGCGACTGGTGGTGATTATTCGGCTCATTCTATACGTGTGTTCCAATATAGCTAAGCGTAGCGTGAGTGTGCTAGCGACCGTACACGCACGCGTGTGATAAGAAATGTGCAAGCTCCATAGCCATTCGCACAACTCCCGACGGACATTCGTCGCTTAATCCGTAGATAACGAGCCAGATTACAGAGATTCTGCGCACTCGCCGAGTCAGCTCAATTAAATCGAGCTCGTGGAATTGGGTGGAAAAGCAGAACTGAACCAAATAAACTAACGAGAAAAAATAAAAACAAAAACATACAAAGCAAAACGGTGGAACGGGGCTGATGAGGCAAGCATGAAAGCGACCCGCTTCTGCGGCCTGAGTCAGGATTTATTTTGGTTGGCGCCCGCCGGAGCCACCTCAGCCGAGATCCTAGCCGCGCGGCCGAGCGCACTGTTGTGTTCCAAACGAGCGCGGTCCCTCTCCTTGCTGTGTCGCATTTTGCTCGGCAACCTCGAAGAAGGTCGTCATCAGAACGCCGAGCCCAAGGCTTCTTTTTCCCCTGCCACCGACACTGGAGTGCGCGAACCTCGTAAGAGTCCGCCTGTTTTTTCTCTTTATTTTCTTCGTAGGGGGTGTCTGTTTCTTGCACGGTGAGGTGGAGAAGCGCAGCTTATCCTGTCGACGCTTGTCGGACGAGGAGACGGTGTTATGGCGGGCGAATGTTTCGTGGCTTCAGGGGCGTCTCAGCAGTGAATCGTTGCGCGAAGGTCAAGGAGATATGAAACGTTTTTAGAAAGCTTTTTTTGGCGTGTTCTCAGTTGCGTTTTAACAACTTAATAGAAATCTGATCATTAAACAGCTCTAGGGGTGTAGCTGGACGAGTCGGCGCATAAGCAGAATAAATAAAACAGAGCAAAAACACATAGCGACAAGTAGATTCGCCTTTTCTACGTGTCATACTTTTGTATGTCTTTTTTTTATTCTTGTAAAGGCGTTCTATACTTTGGTTCATCAAAAGTAAGAACGGATTCAAAGTCTAGAAGACACGCAATCGCAGAAGGACAGAGTGAGAATGGCAAGGTCATGGCGCATTAAAGGAGATTGATTGCTTCAACGGGGAATAACGTACGTACTGAAAGATATTCAGTGGTATGACAGTGCGTCTTCAGCTCTGCTTGATTGACATCATCGGCGTGTAGCGTTAAATGAGCTTTGATTTAAAGAAAAGGGGAGCAATAAAGGCAATGGGACTGTATCTATTTCTTGTGATCTGCAAGTAGTGAAAAATAAATTAACACACCGCAGATTCAACAAGTTTTACTCAGTGTCATTGTCGCCGTTTTAGTAATGTACGGTTATTTTCAAGTGTGCGCGCTCTCGCGAGGAGATTGATCCGAAAAAAACAACGCAAATACTTCAGCTTCTCCAGACTGGTGAAACACAAGGTTGGCAGACAGTAGTCGAGGAGAGCACTGCCTGGACCTTGCCGACAAAAGTGTGGAGTCATCGTTGCGAGATTTCATTCCACACTCTACGTAAACTCTGTTTCCCACTTTTTGTTTTACCAGTCATGAGACTCCTGGTCTGCTTGAACAATTCGAACGAATTTCAAGAAATATTCTTATTCTTCCACCCATTCATTCATTCATTCATTTTTTGTACTCATTTATGGCCTAAGATTTAAATACACTGTTAAGGGGTTGTGAAAATACGAGTGCATTGCCACCACGGATAATTTACGAAACAGTAGCGAAAGAAAAAAAGAAGGTAAGTGTCACACAAAAAAGTCAGCGGCTGGGAAAAAACCGCAGAATTTCGTGGGGACGCGTTTTTGTCAAGCCTAGGCAAAGTTCGTCCACACGGAACGTTTTGTTTTGTTTTTGATATCCGTCTCTTTCTTGCATGATTCACTTCTATTTATATAGGTTTTCGTTCACAAAAAGAATGGATTTCTGTCAAATATAAATTGCCGTTTTTTTTACAATAATTATTATTATTATTATTGTATTTTTTTTTAATAAAGAGCTTGCTTGACCTTAAGAGCGACGTGCATCCACTTTCGGAGGTTATAAAAAATTACACCTCAATCAGGCTTATTCTTGTGGGGCCGTTAGTGACCTTCCCTTCGTATGCATCCAATGCCTACAAGCCCATTGGCAGTGTTATCGAACCCTTTCGAAAGACTGCCCTCTGTTGGCAGCTGTCAAATCTCTGTACAATGACGGCACAAAACCGCAACCTCATTGTCCAGTTTATGCGTTGGGTTGGATTGGAAGGTAAAAAACAAACCTGCAGAAAAAGGTGATGATCGCAGTGACGCTGCACTTTCGACGCTGTTTGATTGGCTCGAAGACTCCTAGCGTTGACCGCACACACACGTTCGCTATCTCATGGAATGACTTGCATGTTCCACCATGTCAGTTGTTCCGCCTTTGTACAGTGGTTCCGACTAAAGTCCCTGGATACTACTTTTTACAAGTAACGACAACCAAATACGAATGACGAGGCACATTCCACAGAAAGAAAATGGCGTCGTTCAGCTCAGTCTTGTGCTGTGGGCCTCCATTCGCGTCTTAAATCCTGCGCCGTCACGCAGTCGGCGCTTCAAAGAATGTTGCTACATGTAGAATGTTCTCATCTAGGAACTTTAGTTCCGACATTCTAGTTCTAGTAATTGGCGCGTGACTTTCAAAAGGGGTCTGTTGAACAGAGAAGCATAGATAGGATGGAACTAATTTGAATGCGCAGCATTTAGATTCTCGAAGGCTGCAAGCACAATGCCCAGTTGAAACTAACAATGTTGAAATTGGTCAACACTCGTTTCCGCCTTTGTAGAGGCAATCCGGTGGCAGCGTATCTAACCCATTGCATTTGGAGGTACCTAGTACATTCTTGTGTAACATTGAATAGAGACGCTATAATCGTCCGACCTAACACACGCCCGCACGCACACGCTGCACGGCGAAGATACGTGGCGAAAACCAGGCTACGGTCCGGCGTTCTGACCCAGTAAACGCGATCGGCGGGGGGCATTCGGCGCTCACGGCAGTAACCAGTACGATATATGAAACGAGGTACGGGGGGCCTAGAGCGATAAGCTAAGGCCCAGTTCACCAGGCAAAAGTGACGCCCACTTGGGTGCCGCCATGTTGTATGATTTTGACCACTAGACACGTGACCATACCATATCCTGAGTCTTTTACACGAAACTGAATCCAAATTTGTATTGCAATCGCTGTAAAAAAAAAGAATATTATAAACTATTTTTTTTTTTACTACTGTTAGCCCCAGAGATCAGTGTCTAGCTCCGATAAAAACCCAAAATACAGCACCGCGGCAGACGGCACCTGGCAGAGGCTTTGCGAAGCTGCCCGAGTTTTTGTCGTAAAAGAATATTTTGGACTTAAAACGAACGAAACATAACTTATCTCTTTGGCACTGTTGATAAAGATCAATTAGCAATTATTTGCGCGCGGTACTTAATTAAAGTCTAGATGTAAAACTATAAGGTCACGTGTCTTGGGGTCAAAAATGTGCAACGTGGCGGCGGGCAGTTGGGGGTCAATTTCAGTTGCCAGTTTATTACTCTAAGGCCCTTCATTTCGTTCGAAATATGTTCGATGCCATCCTGCACCGACCTCGCCGAAACCACGGGACCAGTCTTCGAGCATGCATTGGGCGTTCGATCTCTGGACACCAGCTGCAGGTGGATTATGGCGGCGTATTGCGCAACTTCGCAAGGCGCGCGCTTGAGATGGTGCCACGCGCATGTACCGCCAGAACAGCGCGCTGTCGGAGAAGTTTGAAAGCTGGTTGAAGTGTATAGACCTTTCCATCACTTATCACCCGGGTGAAAAATGCCGAGTCACTGAGCTGTGGACGCTTGCGCAGTGTCTTATATACCGCACAGCGGAGCAACAGCGCACGCTCAAAAGGCGTTCCACAGCCCAGCAGACAAAGATGGCAACGCCCAGAAGGCAATTTTTGCAAAGGTCTATAGACGGGAGCGTTTTCTTATGCGCGTGACGCAACCGGCGTGACGCAGACGACTATAGAAAGGGCTCGTTTGCGCGCGGGGGACGTAGGAGCATAACGGCACATTTACATTCGCCGCTCTATAGAACTCTACATAGCCTATCAGCCAGGCGAAGAATGCTGAGTCACTGAATAGTGCACGCGTGAGTGGCGTCCGATATTACTGGGAAGAGAGCCAATGCGCAAGTTCAGAACGCGTTACAGGGCCCAACTAGGGATACGCGACGGCGCACGAAAGGCGATCTTTGGAATGGTCCGTACTCGTTCGGAATTTTAAGCTGTCGCTTGGCTGGTCTGAACGCAGGAGTTGTAGTGCCTCCATCTGCTCCCGTTGGTCCACTCGTGGTTGAAAGCGTAACCGAAGACTCTGTCCGACTCTCCTGGAAGCAGCCCCTGAAGGACGGCGGGGATCCGGTCAGAAACTACCTCGTCGAGTACAGAGATGTGTCAGCAGCAGAGGTACGTCCTTCGAAACAATTCATACTGCTATTAACAAGGATAGACCAACGCGGAGCTCCGACGTCACACCGCTGCGGTGGCGCTGGTGTTGCAACTGCGCATGCGCAGATAATTTACATCAAGCAAATCTTGTTTCCACGCAGGCGCAGTAGCCACACGCGGTGTTGGCAAACACCGGCTTGTTTGTAAAAGCGCGTTGGCACTTGAAATACGAACACGAGTCGGAAAATATATGATGTGGATGAGGATTGAGACAGGCGCGTATGGTGCGATCCTAATTTCAGAAACAGGTGTCAAGTATATCGTAATATATAAAGGACGCTACGTCATAACTGTAATCACTTGGCGTGTCGTAAGTGTTTTCCAGTGTTAAACCAAATTAAGCCTGCTTCTGTGTATGCTTGAAAAATGTTTCTGTAGACGCCTCCGATTATGCGCCAGGTCGCGAAAATAAGCTCCAACGATGTTATTGTCTCTCGTCTTCTTTTACGTCTATAAAACGTCCCCAACGGGATCGGAGAGCGAACACCAGAAAGAAACCAATAAAGTTTAATATGTGATAAAAACTTGCAGTCTGCATGTGAAACTACGGAATTTACAGTATTTGTTTATAATGAATATATTTTTATTATATTTAGTAAAAGGTATATTTTGAAGGGAAAATATTATATTTAATAACTGTGAGTTGGTTTTTAGGATTACGATGCTCGGCATTTTAAACAACGTTGCAACTAGTGTTCTATTTGTAGTTTGTATAGATTTCTTATTATTTAGGAAATAATTAATGACCATATCTCCTAAAACTAACGGGATTGAAAACGTTCGTTTCTCAACGGTATTAATTCGCTTGTCTTTCAAAGATAAAGTTAACTGAAAACTCAGTACTTTATCACTAGTGCTCAATTGACTTTCACACACACAGGCTCCTTGTAGATACTGCGCGCACTCAGCAAAATAGTTTCGATAGCTAAAAATACCCGAACACTTCTCTCAGACGGAAAGCCAACGGACATGCCAGGGAATGAGAGAGAGAGGGAGAGCCGGAATCCATCTGTTGCAACCACTGGAACGCGGTGTAGGGTGCCAATTCAACACCCTTCCTTCCCTTGATGTGCCAAAGTTACTCTGAATCATCAAGTCCTGGCGCCAAAACATGTCACAGTCGGTCTCTTCTGCTCCCTCAATGAATATATAGAGCAGTAGCCAACGTAGTACAGTTCTTTTGACCAGCATTTCGTTTTTGTCTTGGTATTTGAGGCCATAAAAATCCCGAAGAAGCTAGGGCAAAGTCAAACTTGCATTACTCTCGCCAGTGTCTGAATAGAGTGGCCCTAATTAGTGAAACAAGTGCCAAATTTAGGCATGACCTCCGGTTGTTCGGTTTTATGTTGCAACTCTGGGCTTAAATCGCTAAGCGAGTTTAATATTTATTATGTTAATTCAATTAATGCAAAGGTGCAAGCGAGCTGGACAAGATTAACGATAATAATCTCTTGAGAAGGGGAACAAAGGGAAAAAAGACAAACATAAATTTCCAAACACAGCTAGGTGACTGGTGCACTACCGAAAAATTCACCCTGGTCCTGGTATCAAACCAGGGACCTCTCCACTTCCAGTGGTCCTGGTTAGCTGAGTTGGTAGAGAGCTCCACTGGGAATAGAGAGGTCCCTGGTTCGACACCAGGACCAGGCGGATTTTTTTTTTCATTCGCACACCACTCACCTAGCCATGTTTGAATATTTGTGTTTGTCCTTTGTTCTCTTTGTTCCCCTTCCCCAAGGATTGTTTTCGTTATTTGATATTTAGCCATCGCTGCTGGTTCTTCGGTTTTTACGTTACATGTTTGACTTGAGTCTGGTACTTTGGCATTACGCAAGGCATTACGTGGCGAGCAAGATTAAAGCCATAAAAACGCCGAGCAGGAGTTTTTTGCCACTAACATATTCGAGAAAAACCATATTAGGCCCAAGTTAGGCCCTATAAATAACCAAGCTTGTACCAAGTTGCGCGTTTCTCTGGCGTGCTCTCTGGTACATGTTACATGCAAAAACAATGATCCCTTGTGTCACAAATATGAACACTGTAAACAAGTTATAACATACAAAAAATAGTATTGCACTTCGATAGCTATGAGCTCTTTTTCATTCTTCCGCAATAAAACATGTTTTATTTGTTCCTATACCATGGTTTATCGTTCTGCTTTGTTAATGTTTTTAATATAAATTGAACAAGGCTTTGGTTGGTTAATGGCTTAATAATATTGCGGGGTTCAGAAGTAAAACAACAAAAACAAAATTTCCGCACAAAAGCCGATGAGAATCCGATCCTAGACATATTGAGGAACCAATAGTTTGAGCGTGCGTGAAACTAAAATTTATATCAAGTTATAAAAAAGGAAAAAAGAACTTAATACAGTGCATTCGCTATCCTTTGAGTTTCTACTATTTGTCTATTTTATATTTGAAGGTATATCTTCTTCCTTTTTCTCGACACTCTGGTTATTGTTTGAGTCACCAAGGTTCATGCAAATACTTCATACGTTCTTGCAGATTATAAATGTTTTATTGCATGTTTGCAAAGCACTTTATAGATAGCAAAGGCATACAATTGAAGAGCCCCATTTTCGTTATTACCATTATATTCAAATTATTTTTCTGTTTTCATACTTCACAGCAACTTCCCATGAATAGCTGTTTTTGCATTTCTGAAAGATATCCTTTCTTTGAGATGCCTTCCTTACTCGTCTTTCAATCTATCCTTCCCTCGATTTCTGCAAACATTTTGAGGAATATTTATTTTCATTGAATGGTTCATGACTTTTTGTTTCATTGTTCCTCAACCCGATGGGTTGCGCAGTGAATATTTAACAATCAGGGATGCCTCACTTGCACGTTATTGAGCTGTTAGTGATCATTCCCGACTGAAATGGTTGTACAGAAGGTATGCGTCAGTTTTTCCCATTCTAAAATATTCGCACCCTTAATGTATTAGGAAAAAAATGCATGTATTCTCGTGTATTTTTATCTTTGGAGAGCAATTCTAGTTTGAGGCATTACAACATGATTCAGTCAGTGAGTTGTTATTCTTTGATGTTTAAAAATGGGGAAATTCATATAAACTTTACGTGTTTAATGGTGAGGTGCACAATGTATCCTAAAATTAGGACTTCGTACTATACAGCAAACAAAATCGAATGAGCACATCACTAAAATATATCAAATACGTGAAGCGTGTGCTGAACGTGGTTGTTTTATACCGAAATTTCTGCACAATTTCTAACATTTCACGGTGTATATGTCTGGCTACAGATCGCCAAGTTCTCAGTGAGGACACCAGATGCCCGAACAAGTTTCACGGTAGAAGACCTAAGGACCCGCCACTTCTACGTATTTCGCATTAGCGCCGAAAACGAGGCAGGCACAGGAGAAGCTCTCGTCGACAAGAAACCGGTTCGAGTACAAGCAGCCCCAAGTGAGTTCGCTATGAACGTTCGATTTAAAAAAAAACTTTATAAAAATGCCTCTAAAACAGATTTTACAACACACGGGCCTGTAGTACAAATTTGATTCGCAGGTTTTTAGCCGGGTTGAGCCGTGAGTTAGTTGCGTGCGAAAGAACTGCTACGTTCACAAGTCTATTGAACTTTTCGTCCACCTGTGTGCACAATGCACTTGTAAGCTAACGGGAGGTCCCTTGATCATCCCCAGGCCCGGCTAGATTAACACCGAATATTTTGGGAGCCAACCACGAAAGTCAGCTTCGTCTCAGCATACATGGAAAGAATGCTCACCTGAGCCTGCGTTCACGTTGCCTAAATGAGGTTTCGTCCGTCCGCACACATTATTCCGGGGCACCACAGGATTACCAGTGTGCTCTCTTTGTTTCGAACTTGAAAGGAGACTTGAAGGTCAAGCCACCTTTGTAACCGGTAGCTAGGCCCAAGAAACAGAAAAGCTGCAGATATGTCTCGCAAAATCTGGACCAGTTGTCCTCGTGCTTGCGATGGGTGGGCCGCGTTATGATTGAAACCGGGACTCTGGTGGTCAGCTGAAACTTAGTGTCACGGCACCGCAGTTAAATACTCTTATAGAAAGAAATGCAACATAAAAAATCAACCGTTCTACTATTGTAACGCTATGCTCGGCCTCGGCCATTTCTGTCCCGAAACGAGTTTCTCTCCTAGGTCAAAAAAGGGCATCCTTCACTACACATTCGCACATTCGAAAGTTGTTAAAAGGGAGATTGCGGTTACCATACTTGGGGCTGCACTTACGAAGTCCTGCTTTCACACTGTTCGTGAAAGTTTTAACGCTCAAGTTGAGAGACTCCAAAAGTCGGGCTTTCCATCTCAGGTCTTAAACGAGGTGGTGGCGGTCTTAGTACGCAAGACTAAAGGGATTCGGAGAAAGAAACCTCGAGATCCACAGAAACGAAAGGTTGTTGTACCATACATGCACAAAACCTCTCATAATTTAAAAAGAGCAGCCCAAAGGTACGATGTGCCTGTGGTGTTTTCGGCTCCAAAAAGAATGGCGCAAATCTGTTCAAAGGTTCGCTCGATAGCGGATAACCTCAACAAAGGCAAGTGCCAGAAACGCCACAGCCACCCTTATGTGCCATGTTCAATTGGCGTGGTGTACAAAATCCCATTAACGTGTGGTAAAAGCTATGTGGGCCAAACCGGACGGTGCCTAAACGATCGCCTTCTCGAGCATGATCGTTCGCTAAAATCTACGGTGGGTGGTCACCTTCCCGTTCACTGCAATTCCTGCTCGTGTGCTCCGATTCTAAAAGGCACAACAATAATTGGACACTATCGAGACAAGACAACTCGCGAAATTTTAGAAGCACATTGCATCAACAGCCTGGGGGACTGCTGCGTCAGCCACCCATCAGTGACACTACTAAACACTGAAACCTTGTTTTTAGAAAGGACTATGGGGCAAAGACATTGCAGTTAGATGGTCCTGTGTCGCGTGTCATAAGCACTGCGTGCCCTGCGTGTCTTTCAGAACGGTTTCTTCTTCTTTCTTTTGTGTATAAATTCAGTTGCGAGTCAGCGCTTGTGTGTCCTGCATGTTCCTTTTCTCTGTCCTTGTCTTTGTGTGCGCTGTTCTGTTCATCATGCCACGCACGTCGTTGTGTTCCAGTCGGGTCTGTCAGGCAAAAGCACACGTGCCGACGTGCCGCTGTGCGCACGACTTAGTCGTCAATATATTTTAACCTATGAATTTTGATTTTCTACAGAAGAACGTTGTAATAATCTCTCTTCTGTAATAAATAACTAGTGTGAAAAATATATTTGCATTTGCAGAAAGCCGTAGTGTTATGAAAAACGTTATGTACCATTTTGAGACTGGTGCCCGGACGTCTTTCACTCAGGCGGTTCTATGCAGCAATGATTTGGTTTCGGTTGAGTCAGCACACGCAATTTCTAGCAATTTTGCTCTGCCAAATCTCTCTTAAAATTGGTAATGCATCTATTTTATCGCATTTCTAAGTGTTTCAAACCGCATGTTTTATTTTTAGTTATATGTTTTGAATTTTGATTAAATTGTCCAGTGTGCGAAGCTAAAAGATATTAATTTTTTTTTTTGTGCCGAACTGCAGCTAGTATTATATTGTAGCAGGCCGGAAACCCGTCAAGCTGTCTTGCAGCTTTGTTTCCCGACCAGTGCTTTATGAATTCATGAGATAATGAAGTTATTGTTAAATGGGAGTAATTTTCAAATCTATACTGGTTTTGCAATTAGAATTACTCGCAACAAAAATGTAACGGCAGAATTTGGTTTTACATCAGATCATTTCTATTTGACGGAAGGGGTTCCAAATCACACTCGCAAAATTTAAGTATGGGCCGTACACGCCAAACATTTGACCGCGATCACGCAGAAAAGCCCCCGGCACCAGAACCACCGGTCGTGGTCATCCATCCCACCATGCCTGACGCCTGCATAGTCACGTGGTCACCACCGTGCGATGACATCACCTGGTACATCGTGGAGCGCTGCGATCTTGTCGGGGACGTCTGGATCGTCGTGAGTCAGCAGAAGGAGGCCCAGTTCGTGGCGCAGAACTTGGTCCCGGGCATCGAGTATTCTTTTCGGGTCAGCGCCGAGAATGAGGTCGGCATGGGGAAGTGGTCCAAGCCATCGGAGCCCATGGTCATCATCAGAAAAGGTGACCTTCTCTTACACCCTTCCAGGGCTTATCGCCTTATGATATTCTACATAAGACATCTACTGCGCATGATTAGGATGCACACAACAGCCTATCAGATAAAGATGGCAGCGGAGGCGATTACTGGGATGGTATAGAGAATATTAGGATGTAGGAAAAGGTTGAAATTTTGTTGTGTAAAACAATACCTGTGTGGTTTAAAATGTACTTCGTATATGTTTTTTTAAATTATTACGATCGATTATTTTTCGTTTGCAGATATACCACCTAAATATGACACATTACAATCGTGAAGGGGCGCGGCAACACTTTTTAAGTTTCAGTAAATATCACCTAAAATTATTTCTTGACATTAAAACATGAAAGAAAACACGTGTTAGATGTTTTTTTCTCAGGCAATGGTAGTTGCAGGAAAGGTATAAAAAAACAAGCAGCGTTCACCCACGCATTTCGCAGCCAGAGCAAGCGGCCACGTCATCTAGAGCCAATTATAAGTCGCCAATGTTTATCATAACCACGCGCTCGGATTGGCAGAGCACACAGTACGCGCTGAATTCCACACAATCTTAAGTTTCGGCTGTTCCCTTTCATCGAAGTGCTTAAAAAGGAGCCACTACCCGAATGCATGTATAAGCACTGTTCGTCATGAGCCCAAATCGAATGCTTTCGCATTGTTCGTGTTCACTGTATGAGCTGCAATCAAATATCGTCACCTGATCGCAAAATTCTGGGGATTTTATTGTTGACGACTCCAACAATATGCGATCCCACAAATCTGTCACAAAGTTTTTCAAAAAAGGGACTGAAAAAAAAAAAACTCCGCTTTTATCCTTAAAATTACGCGTCGATAGAGAAGCATCTTCGACTGTGGCGCTGCGTGCGAGCAAACTTTGATCCCATACAGTGCCATCAAGCGTGTGTGAAGCAGGAAACCTTTATTATCCAATACGTTTCACGTCCCCTTTAAGATCGTTGTTGTAATCATTTGACAAGGTTGGTTCAAATGGCATCACTGATTTAAATTAGTGCTCTATATACTTAAAGAATATTTGCCATGAAAGTAAATAGTTTGCGTTCTATATTCTTATTTAAAATTTAACGTTTAAGCAACAATAGCACCACTTTACCTACTTAATTACTACGTCTTTACATTTGCAAATGCAAGCACACAGGCCTTGCAATCATAATAATAAGAACTGCTCGTGACAAGGACACCACGTACAGGGCATAAAACGCTTCCACGTATATGAGATGTAAACCGCAACTGGCCCAGCCGCTGCATTCAGGTTGGTGCTGTAATGTTCTCCTTACTGCCCAGTTGCGTCCATGACGGCACCGGAGTTCACGAAGGAGCTGTCAGACTGCGACGTCTTGGTGGACAACGATGCCACGTTCACCTGCAAATTTATCGGCATTCCGACACCTGAAATCACCTGGTACGTTGTTTTTTGTTTTAGTTTTAACTATTTTCCTTTGTACATAACTGTATCTTAAATGACGTCTTGTTTCTTATGAGGTTGCCGCAACATCTGTGTGCACATATTGTTTTTTCGCGTCGGCGTAGCCCACCAACATCCCCCGGTGTGTTAAATTATTTAAAAGGGATGTCTGTCTCTTCGGCATTTCCCGGACGCGTTCTAAAAGCATCGCATTTGTATGGAATTTTCGGACACCTCTGAAAAGCAGATTTTAATGCTTTCTTAAATTTATGATATTCTGTCAGTGCCAAGTGACATCGCGTGATGTAGTAACCTCATGTGACGTCACGGTGTCAAGAAAAACGAAAAATCTAAAAGCTGTGCTCATAAATGCTGCGCATTTCATACGTAATGTTTAAGATATGATATAGCTCAACGTCCAAGTGCGCAAGAGGTGCGATCTCGAAGGAAATTTAAAGCCTGTTGCAACCTGCGTCGATTGTGTAGATGCAAAACACTGCATAACCACAGTTGTCGGTCATACATTACATCAACAAAAGCACTTCGAGCTTCGTTACTATGGTAAAGTTCGAGGAAACAAAATCGTTATTCGAATGAAATATACGAGTGTGCGTGCATAGAATAATTAGGGTTGTGTGGGTATTTAGACAGCGTATAGTTGGTCAGTCACTTCAAACTTGCGACGAGTCACTCGCTGTAGATGAGAAATTTAGCCAGTGCAGTACAACCGCTAACCTGGGGTCTTTAACGTGCACCACGCAGTAGCGATACACGACCGCACGCCGGTACAATTGCGTGCATAGAAAGTCCACTGGCCATTGAATGCGTCTCTCATCAGACTTTTTGCGTACATAGAAAGTCTGATCAGAGACGCATTCAATGGCCAGTGAATGATTAGAGGAGGCCTTGTCTTGATTGAGATAAGGAACCTGATTCTATTTACTGCACTGGAGTTATAACATTTTCGACGGAAAATAAATTAAGAATTGTTCTGAGGTAGGAGCGTTTACGCGTACAAAAGACCAAGTTTCTCATTATAGGTGTATCAATATAGCAATTGGTTTGCAACCCTATCTCCAGATAAAGCGACGTATTGCTGAAGTATAAATCTATTGATGAAACGGACAGGCCAAAACACTGCACCGAAAAAGTGTGATAACCATTTAGCTAACCAATATTGGGAATCATAGCAGTTTTCACCTTGTGCTGCAGTTCTGCATAGTTGCTCCGCACGCGTGGAAATGCAGCGTGCTGGTTAAGTTACGGTGTTTGTGGAGCATAACATAGAGGAAGAAAACCGGACGTTTCCAAGAAACACAAATGGGGATGTAATACTGCCTACTAATGAGATCGTTAATCCCCGAAAATGTGTCTATGGGAATACTTGAGCAGTTAAAAGCCGTTTCTCGACATTTTAATCATTATTTTTGAACGTTTCCTAGAAAAAATATATATGTTTGTCCGGATACAGAAAGTGGTGACTGCTGATGGACCCTCACTTTATGTTTTTGAAAAATGAAAATATGACTCCTAATAGAAAATGACAAAACAAATTTTCAAAGAAATTCTACAAAGGCAACATTTTCAAAAAAAAAAAAAACGTGTAGTACGGCAAAATGAACTAGAAAGACTTCTATAAAAAAAATTAAAGAAACACGAATGGGAATGTGATACTGCCAGATATTGAGATAGTTAATCTCCGAAAATGTGTCTATGGTTACCTATATTTTTTTTTTTTTTGCGATTGGTTCAGGTACAAGAGCGGCCACGAAATATACGATTCTGGTCGGACAGAAATTGACACGACCCTTGCAACAAGCTCCCTGCTGCTTCGGAAAGTTCGACTCGAAGACAAGGGGAAGATTGAATGTCAAGCTCTCAACAATGCAGGCTTGAAAACGACCTCTGCGAAACTGACTGTGCTGGGTAAGGACACAAAAAATGCGTTGTGTTCCCAGAACGTTTTTACGGCATATCATGCAGAGTTGATTCGTGGAGATGTTCTCCGTGCCTTCGATGTCCCAAGAAGTATATATTTCTATTTTAATTTTTCGAAGAATAAATGTAGAGTGAAAAGACGACGCACAATAAAAGTTTATAAGGATATGCGACCTTTATATCTTAAATTGAGCGTTACAGAGATGCGCCTCTAAGCTTGGTATAGAAAAACGCGCTTCTCAGACGGCACGCTGCTATGGCAGCCTAACTTTCGGCACTGTGCGTCCGCAAACCCTTCACCCTACTCAAATCTGCTTTCTGCCCACGTGCAGTGCCCGCACTTGCTGTGGCCAGACGCGTGCTTATTTGCAAAATGCGCATAGGCCCGTTAGGCCGGTAAAAATGTTTCCGTATTAGGCAGAGGCTTAAACGCAAATAATAACCTTGCAGGCCCTTACTAAAAACTTACATCGTGCATATTAAAAAAAAAAAAAAAAAATCCTCGCTGTTTTGGCAGATTGGTTTCTAGACTCCAACAAATTCTATCTCAAAACTTCAGAGAAGTCTCTACTCGAGAACTTCAGCGAGGAAAAGTGTAGAACGATTTAAAGCGTTCCAAATTCAGGATTATTGGAAAGCTAGGACCTCTTTAAATATTCTTGACTGAAAGGCATTACAACAAAAATGTGAAAACCAACGCGAGAATAGTGGTTCAATTGGCCACATCCAATACATTAGTTGCGCAGCAGTCAACTTTAATATCTAGATTTTTACTCATATTAACCAAAAAAGCATACAGTATGTTTCACCTAACTTCTGCCATTGCTTAAAAAAGTTGGTGTAGGCTTGTCGTGTCGAAGCAACGCAGTATTTTATCATAGTCCTGTTGAGCAAATCAAGGTTGTTTTCTTCTTTATCCGTGGTGCCAAACTGACTAATTAACACAAATTAATTGGCTAATTTATTCAATATAATTTTGTACTCAAAAACCTTAAATTCTATAGTTGTAGGGCCTCTTGAGAATCATCTCATCGTGTTGTTTCCATTAAAGTGGGCTTCCTGTGTTTAATTGCTTTAAAATTTAAAAAAAGCGCGAGAATAAAAAAAAATATATATCTCACGTTTATAAGAGCTTTAACATCGCAGTTTGATAGCGGGAAGTCACGTAAATTGTTTTCTTTACATATAGTGCGAGGTTTCCTAGCTTTCTTCACAGCTGAAAAGAATAGTTGCATGAAGGCTAAATTTATAAAAAGATACAATTGGAACTTTCTCAACACGCGAAATATTTTAGAGCAGTGTTTTCCCGCAAACTAATACTTAAAAAGTTAGGTAAATAATTTGTTTTGATAAAACAGTTTGGAACATAGCAAAAATATTTCGACTTGCTCAATTTAGGACTATAAACTCAATATATCTTGACTTCCCCAATAAAACTGCATTAGTGGAATGCGCTTAGCGTGTTCTAGTGTTTTTAAGTATTGGCACAGGTTAGGTGAAGTATACTGCGTACATCGGATATTAAATTTGAGGGATGTTGCAACTCGCTGGTACGGGGTAAAATTCATTACGCAGCCAACTGTAAGAGGAAAAAAGTGTACGAGCGAGTGGGTGGAAAACGCCGTAGACACCTTCAGACTGGAATAATAAAATAACAAGCTAGAAGCGTTGACGAATAGTCTAGTTTTTATTTCTTTTTAACGGGAAACAAACAGCGCAAGGACACGGAAGACTGAAGACAAACACGGCACTGACTTACAACTGAGCTTTAATGGATCTGACGAGTGTAAATACAAAAAATAGCCGTAACAAAACGTCGAAAATGGAGACAACACTTACGAAGGACGACACCTGTTCATAGAGTCATCGGCGTGTACCGTTTTTTTTCCAATCTACAAAAAAAGCAAAACATGTACATTGTTTTCGACCAGGTAATTGACTGGGCACTAACACTTTTGGATCCCGCTTGTCCGATAGCGCACGCTTCCACAATCTCACGCTTGAGCTTATCCTTTTGTTTACAGATGGCCGTGCATCTTTCAAAGGCCTGAGTTTATCCGCAGTCACGGCAGTGTACACCAAGATGTCCCGACAAAACTTGTGACACATTATACCGGTGCTCTCTTAACCGCCCATTAAGACAGGGTCCTGTCTGGCCTATGTGTCTGCGGCTCCAAGACATGGGAATAGATTACACAACCTCCACAATGAATCTTACAAACTGAATTTGGTCTTTTAGTGCACTCTCATTTTTCGCTTACATAAAAATTTACTTTTTCGCACATCCTAGAAAATTTGTCCGGAATCGAGAAGACCACATAAACTCCGACTCGACACCACACTCCCTTCAGATCACGAGAAGTTTCGTATAGGTACGGCAGTATAGTGCTGCGATGTCTGTTTTTTTTTCTTAGCTTCTTCATCTCTCTCGATGTGACCTAGAGGTAACAAACTCTTCCTACCGTTTTTATCAGCCTATTTTAGGCTGGTGAAAAGTGGAATCTTCATCACTTGTTTTAAGCATGCTCTATATAAATCGTACTTTCACTTGGTCAAGAATAGCTTGAATTATTAAGTATTAAGACACGTGACCGCAGGCTATATTGAAGAGAAGACGCATCAAGAGCGATCAAGAAGCTAACATAAAATAAGCTTGAGGTGCACCTGAGCACTTCTTATGAGTTGTGAATCCGAAAGCGTGCAAGCCGCTCGCCCGCTCCCTTTTTCGCCTGCTGCGTACTTTTCGTCGCCGGTCTTACGCTTCCTCCCCTGGGCACGCTGACCTTGGACGCTCCGTGTTAACGGTGCACTGATGAACACGCAGCGCCATGGGTTGAGCGTCATGGAAACTGACGAGCGCAGCGGCGAATGGGAGCCCCGTCGACGCCCGCCAGCGAATGGAAACTTTGGGATAGGGGAAACTAGGTGCCGTTTTCGCGCTTCAAACTGATGACGTCAGCTCGCTCCGCGAAACAGTTAAGACTTTCGCATTAAAACATAAATATCACAGTACTCCTGTATCTACACAATATTTCTCATAATATAAAGAAATTGGGACGTCGAGTCGGTGTTCGTGTTGTCTTCTTGGCTCCGGACGAACTTTCTAGGATGTGCAAGAAAGTGAAGTCTGAGGTAAAAGAAAAACGAGTGTGCACTAAGAAAGACCAACACTAGTTTTCGACAAGCGTCGTGGAAGTCTCATATTCTGCCTCCCTGTCTTGCGGACGTAGATACCCAGGGCAGACAGGGCGCTGTCCTAATGAACGGTTAAGACAGCGCCGGTATAATCTGTCTCAGGTTGTGTCGGGGTATCTTGGTGTACAATGCCGCGAATGCGGCTGTACTCCCCTTTGAATGATGCGCGGTCATCAGTAAACAAAAGAATAAGCCCACGGCGTGAGATTATAGAAGCGCGCGATATGGGACAAGCAGATTCAGAATGTGCTAATGGCCCGGCACTTGCCTTGTCGGAAAAAGTGCATGTTTCTTTGTAGATCGAAGGAGAACAGAGCGCGCAGATGACTCTAGGAACACGTGTCGTCCTTCTTAAGTGTTGTTTCCTTTCTTGGTTTGTGCTTCGGGACAAACTTTGTATTTATTTATACTCGTTGTCAGATCCATTAGAGCTCAGTTGTAAGTCGGCGCAGTGTTTGTCTTCCGTCTTCTACTCTGTCAGTGTCCCTGCGCTGTTTGTTACACATTAAAATAACAATTTGCGTGACACACGTCGCAAGTGATTTTGTGCCGTGTTGTCATTTATCACATTTTTCTTATGTCAGTGTTTAAATAACAAGGGATCACTTTGTCCTAGAAAATAGCTTCAACTTAAGCCTGAACCCAGCCGAGGCTACGAGCTGATGTGACCAATCGAACAGCGCCACAGCGCACTGACATGATGTTCTTCATGTGTCTCCACGTGTTCTAATATCGTTAAACGTATGATATGTAGGAAAGGCCGATGATGTGCGCTTTTGTTGGTCCCATAAACTCGTAGCACCGGTTGCGTCCAAAATTAAAATAAAGCAGAGTATTAAACCCTTGACGTGTTTATGTGGTTAGTTTTGCCTTTAAGCTCGCGATCTTGCTGTCGGTTTTAATTTTACTCGGAATATGGTGTACTGAATCAACGTGAGTTTTTCTTATATGGGATCTGCGTTTGCCTGTATTAGTTCAACATAACCGCCACGTTGATGAACTAGACAAAAACCAAACGCAGGCTCCGTGGTACTTAAGAAATTTATTGTCTTTGGTTGCTAAGCTTGATCGCACAAGCTAGGGAAGGCACCACCTCCGAACCTGCTGTCGAAAATCATGCCAAGCCCGTAGTGCTTTGTTACAAGATTTTAGAATCAATTTTTTAGCTCTCCAACTAGTTATTGATCTTTTGGTGTCAATTTTACGAGTGATCAATGGAAATAGCACATATTTATCGGCGCTCCAGGGTAAACAGCAAATCCAGAAATCCCATCTACAGCCTAAATATATTTTCTTTTAGTAAGCCTAACACCAAGGATCCGGCCAATGATACAGAATTCATCCGTTTGCAGCTCCTCCAAAACTAACCGGATCACCAACGTACAAGGACGGCTTAATGTTCGACTCCGGAGAAACGGTCCGCGTGAAGCTCTCCTACACCGGACACCCGCCGCCAGATTTCACCTGGAGAAGGAACGGAGAGATCGTTGTGTTTGACGGGTCGTCGGCCGCCATGTTGGTGGACAGAGATGACCAGACTGTTCTTCTGAAGCTGGTGGATGCCGACCCCAACCACCGGGGCATGTACACTCTGGAAGCGACGAACGAGCACGGTTCGGATCAGTTCAGCGTTGCCGTTATGATTACAGGTAAGGTGATTTTTTGTGCACTGTCAACTCCGTTAACCCCACGCTGAAAGTGCGGTGGGATCTATCTGTTTGTCGGAATATTTATGGGTATATGTCTAGCCACGTAACCACGCTTCCACCTATACCCATCCGCAGCGAGTAGGGTCGGGTACTGAAATACAAGCGGTTGATTGGTCAGGCAAGTGCGTATCTTCTGCCGCATTGTCAGCTTAAAGCTGGCCAAAGTGGAGTTATCCCATAGTTTTCAAGGACTGAGTATCTAAGTGGTCTTGGAGTTAGTGTATGTTATTATACCCAAATCTTAAATTTTCTGCTCAACTTTTTCACGTATTGTGCTTATCTGCTTGTTTTCCAAGCTGTCATGTTCGTTTCATTCTTGACAGCTCTCTACGTGTCCACTTCTTCATTTCGTACATATGCGTTCATGTTTTTGGTCTGTGCACCACCAGCTACCGAAACGTAGTGTATCTCTCTACCTTCGCGTAATACAGAATTCGTAAGCGGAAATATTTCATTTGGTTGACGCCCGTCCAACATCGTCGAGATGCTTTTCTTGCATGTCACCTAAGGCTTTGCGGAAGTAATCTTTGTGGTGTATTATTAAATATTGTGAATTCTTAATTCTGAAACTAGTTTTACCTCTTGGGAGATTCCGGCTTCGCAAATTTCTACCCATATCGAATTTAGAAACGGCGTTAAAATTCTCAATTTAAAAACTCTGTCTTGCTTAATACTGCTGCCCTACCCTCTTCTTGCCGGTATGTGTTGCACGGATTCTTCAAGTCCTTTGTAGCTTTACCCATAAAACAACCCCGGAAGATTTTTTTTTTTAATCGAGAATTTCAGAAGTCAAACTTGCAATTTCCATTTAGCAAGTGTGCCAATGGCAATTATAGTACTATGGTACTATAACTGCCCTGGTAACTATGGTACTAATATAGTGCTATAAATACCCCCCCATGAAGCAGTGTACTCCAATTAGTAATGCTGGCGAAGGCAATGTACACTAAATAATACGGCGAGATCCCGCGTGTACATCCAGTCTACTCAATCTTTGTTTATATCTTCGTTTGCGTATCGGTGCGCCGTTTGCTTTTTCTATGCGCGGTTTTTGTGCTAGTTCCATTCAAATTTATAGGTAAGGCGTTTTCATTAATGCTTTACTTCTATCCAATTACGTTTTTCGGTAACGAAGTAAGAGGTTAATTATTTTTTGAGAAACGTAACGATTACCGTGGTTTTATTATTTTAATGAAATATCGAGTGATAGTATTCAGTTACATCTGGATAGGAACGTGTACAACAAAGGTTACCTTTTTGGTTTTCTCTCCAACACGCGTCTGTGACTTTTTTGTGAAAAAAGTGGCACCAAGTAAATTATAAAATGCCCTTGAATGCGTTAAAAGGTTGATAATTATTAAGGACAAGAAATAACAAAAGCAGGCTACTGCTTCAAAAGAACGACACATACAGAGTGACGAAAAAGTAGCTCGTCCCTTGTCATCTAGTAACGCGTTCCTTTCGAATCTCAGTAATAAGTAACGTACTTAGTTACTTTTTGAGCGAGTAGCAAGTAACGGTATTTGGTAACTTCTTTTTTTTTTTTTTTTTTTCTCTAACGTGTAAATCTCTGGTAGCAGCGGGCCGTGGGCCGGGCATCACTGAAAAGACGGCGGCCATCCGCGGGCCGGCCGGAACGCCAATGCGGGCCGGATTCGGCTCGAAAGCCGGGGTTTGGCGACTTTTGGTATATAAAAGAAAGGCAGCTATGTGCTTTAGGGTAGAACTGTAAAAGAATATTAAGGATACATGGAATTTTGCACTATTTGTATTTTTAGAGCGCAGCTCTTAGGGGCCCGTTTCCGTGTTTCGCGACGTCGGGTTCGCCGTCGGCGTCACCACGCTAAATTTAGGGAGGAATTGACGTCGCGGGACCTGAACACCAATTCGATTCTTCGCTAAATTTAGCAGGGGAACTCAATTGCTGTTGAGGTCATGTGACGTCAATTTTCATGCTAAATCGAGAGGAGAAACTGAATTTGTTTATAGGTGACGTAACACCAAGAAATGTGACGTAATTTTTCCCACTAAATATAGGGGGGAAACAGAATTGGTGTTGAGGTCTCGGTGACGTCAAATTTTCAGCTAAATTTGGAGAAGAATTGGTGGGAGAAGAGCGGAGGTGGAGGAGGAGAATGGGAAGGTATGGAGGGATAGGATGGGAGGGTACGGAGGGTGAAAGGAGGAGGATGAAAGAAGGAGGAGGGAGAGAACGGGAGGAGGAGACGGCGAAGGAGCAGGGGACGAGGAGCAGAGCAGAAGGCGAGGAGGGAAGGAGGACGAGGAAAGGAGGAGAGGGTCGGGCATACCCTCCCCTCCGCACCCTCCCCTCCTCCTCCTCTAGAGCTGCGCTCTAATTTCGCGTTAAAAAGACTTCCATTTTTTTTTTCAGAAATAATATTCATTTGATTGAACATTTGATAGATTATTAAGATGGTGAATAATTGTTATTGAGAGGGCTTCGAATAAAGATCGTTGTACTTGTTTTCGTCGTAGGTGAGCCGGAACCACCAGAAGGCAAACCTGTCGTTACCTCCGTTGACTGGAACTCATGCACGCTCTCTTGGAACCCTTCAGCAAATGACGGAGGTAGCCCTGTGAGTAGCTACATCATCGAGAGGCGACAGGTGAGAGTCATTAGAGTTACTCTGTCTTTATTTCTATATAATGTCCCTGTTTACACTATGTTCCACCACACTTAAAACAGGGCAGTTGTCGAGGACTGTGTATTATGCATAGTTGGGATAGAAACGTAAACTAAAAGATGTGTGGCACCGGTTGTGGAAACATGTGGTTGCCAAATGTGAAAAAAAAAATTGTTGGCCTTATTGGTTAAACATTGCAAAAATAAAAAAATGCGGTTAAAAAAACCGCGGTTAAAAAAAATTAAAAAAGGCTTAAACACCATGCGCCCCACTTTGAGCCTGTCTGACTTTGCTGAAATTATCATCAAACCAAAGAGAACAGGCAACTGAAGTAGAAAAAAAGAAACCGACCGGTAGTCGTCCCTTACATTCATCGAATCTCCTAACTTTGAGAGATATGCCTAAAATATGATGTGCGGGTTGTGTTTTGAGTCCCAGACACACTGAAAAAGCTCTGACCCAGAGTCAACGCCCAACGCAAAAAGCCTGATGAATACGGCGTTAGACACTACAACAAATACCTTAACTGCGGTTGCGGAGTTGTGTACAAGACCCCGTTCGCCTGTCGGAAGGTTTATGTTGGACAGTCCGGAAGATGTATTATCGTAAGGCTCAAAAAACATGCGCTATCTCTCAAATCCACACCCTCGGTGCATCTCGCTGGACATGTGGGGGACTGCGGATGTTCCCCGCTGCTGTCCAGCTCAAGGACTCTGAGGCGGCGTTCCGATAAGCACACTCGCGAAACGTTTTAGGCTAAAGCCATTGTAAAAAAAAAAAAGAAGACTTCTGCATAAGTGCTTCATCTGGGACCTTGTCATCAAAAGATTCAATATTTTTCTTTTTTTTTTCTAAAATTCGCGTTACCTTTATCTTTTCCTTTAATTTTATGTATTACTCTGTTACTTTAACAGTGTAAACCCTTTCCTTTCGCTTTAATATTTTTTATTATTTTTCTCTTTGTTTAATTCTTAATCTTTTTTGGAACTTTCTCTCCTTTCTCCTGGCGCTTTTAACATTTGGATTTTTTATGTCTTCGTTTTTGTCCTCCATCGAATTAAAACGTCAGTTGAGAGTAAGCGATTTTCCTGCGTTGCCTTCCACCCGCCCTCGTCTTTCGCGCTTCCTATTTTTGTGATAAAAAATGTGGGTCTGTGGTGACTCAAACTGGAGGATGCTTTTTTTCAACATGAAAAGTTTACATGTCGGTTTTTGGCAATTGGACAGGACGTTTTAACCGGCAAGTATCCTCACGAATGTCAAGTTGTAAGTAGACCAGAAAAAAGCGAATTCACTCGCAAGATAATATTTAATTATGTATAGCTTTATTATAAACACCATTTGTTTTCAGTATTAACCATAGACGAAGAAGAAACGTTTTTCAAATTTGCTAACCGTACTCATGTGAAGTGATTTTTTTTTAAATCTGATGACTAAATAGCATATACTGTGTTTGTTTTGTTTTCGTGCAGATGAACAATGAACTTTGGATGAAAGCCACCACTGCACACCAGGAACACTGCACTGTTTACGGGCTCATTGAAGGTGGGCAATACGCGTTCAGAGTGCGGGCCGTCACCGTCTACGGAACCAGCAAGCCAAGCCAGAGCTCCGAGCCTGTCACCCTTCTACGTCTGGGACCAGAGTCGAGGGCAGAGAGCCTGCCGATGGAGACTAACTCTACAGAAGCAACAGAAGCCATCGCCACTGAGCAAGACTTTGCCTCGACAGCCGACGACGCCACCTTGACAGTGACCAAATACGACAGCGATGACCAGCGCTCTTCGCTCGATGTCGACGAGTTCCTCAACGAGGATGCGGCTGCATCGGAGACGGTGTCTCAGGTGACGGCTCCAGGAGTCAGCGAATGGAGCGATTACGACTCTCTTGTTCCCAGCTCGGTGGTCAAGGTAGAATCGGGCGACATTACAGAAGCTGAATACGACGCATTGACCAAGCGGGCAAGTCTTGAAATATTTGAAAAATTGGGTCTCAGCGAACCCGCTGTCGTGCTTGAAGATAATAAACCTCATGAGGAGGAAACAATTGAGACAATTGGTGTTGTTGTTCCAAGTGACGCAGTTTTGCAAAAAGAAGAAAAACTGAAAAGTTTAGTCCGCGAGCATTCTTTTGGAATCGTGCCCTTCGTAAGCGATGCAAGCTTTGACTTATTGCAAGAAGAACCGCGCTACGAAAGTGGAACCACCAGTTACGTGCCGCTGACAGTCAGCTGTGTCTTGACGATTACCAGTTGGCATTTAGCCGAAGAGTCACCTACAGAACCCGCCCCGACATCACAGCGCCCTCTGCCAATTCTCCTGGTATCCCATATATTTTCGCTGGTCGTATTCTCGTCGCCACTTCTCCTCGATCAGACGCAAAACATGTCCCCTACAAAAGTCCCAGACGGGATTATTGTGAAGTTAGTCACGCAGGCAGAGTACAGAATGTACAAAAACTTGCTACCAGAATCTTCCTTCTTGATCATTGACGTCGAGCACCCTTTGTTAGTGCTGGCTCCACCCTTACAACTTGAGTCCACGAGTCATTTCTCAGATCCCGACAAACTCATTCCAATCGCTGGACGGTTCACGCTGAGCGAAAGCCTACCTGTTCCACTAAATTACGTAATCGATACCCTTCTTTGTGAGGGGAAATTGAGAAGACCCGAACGGCCTTCTACCGAATACTGTTCGGTTGGATATGTTCGGAGCGCTGCCGAGCCGACTGCTATTGTAACAACAGTCCAACCAGAAGGAGTGGTGCTTAGTGTAACCAAGCCTGACACCTCTACACAACTAAGCGAAGTGGAAACGGATGAATCTTTTGTTGAAGATATGCTCGAAGCACCGTACGCGAAACAACGCGACCTTCTTTCCGCCTCACCATCCGACTCGGGGCTTGACTCAAGTATTAGCCTTCCCGGTACCCAGTGGAGGCCTCAAGGACCGCTGGGTCTTAGGGCCGAAGACCGAAGATTCTACTATTACCCTGACGCACAGTATTACAAGACTCAAGCCAGACTCAAGGAGTTTGACATGCGCACCAGGCGACCTTACACAAGAAGGATAACGTCGCTGTCCAAGACCATCGAAAGCGACTATTCGCACAGGAAGTCGAACATGGACAGGCTAGCCAAGAAGATTTCCTCCGAGATGTCCAGTCTGGAAAGGGATCTCGAACTGTTGCATTCCATGCAGAGCATGTTACGACGGGAGCTGAAGACAAGGGAGAAGCCGACAGGGGAACAAAGCAACGGCAAGACTTCGAACGGCAGAAAATCTGAAGGATCGCCCGAAACGACTCGTGCAAGGCCCTATCCAGACGCGAGTTCGCGCCCGTACCTCAGTCGTCGGTTGTCGAAAAGTGACTCCGAGTCCGACGAACCAGTGGCGCAATTGCCACGTCCCAAGCCGGTGCCGAAAGGAGAGGCTCCGCGTTTCATCACTCGCCTCGAGAATAGAATTGCACCGAGTGGGTACAGGGTCAAGCTGCATTGCACCGTGGTCGGTGATCCGACCCCTCAGGTCACGTGGCTGAAGAACGGCGTCAAGGTGTCCTTGGAGAACAGACAGATATCAATCAACCATGTGAGTTGTCCTCTTCGTGTTATTTTTAGAGCGCAGCCCTCAGGCGCCCGTTTCTGTATTGAGCGGAATCGCCATCGGCGTAACCGTCCGCGTTGAATTATGGGACGTCACAGTGGCCCCGCTAAATTTAGCGGGAAAACTGATTTGGTGGTGAGGTCAAGCGATGTCAATTTACCCGTTAAATTTAGCGAGGAAAAGTAACCCGCTAAATGGGAGTGGAGGAGGAGAGGAGAAGGAGAGGAGGAAAGGAGGGGGAGGAGGCGCATGTCCTCCCCTCCGTACACTCCTCTGCTCCTCCTCAAGAGCTGAGCTCTAATTTCGTGTTACAAGGAATTGTAAGTCTTTCACTTGTTTAAATTTCCTTTAACAATGGTGCTTCGGAGAGTTCATGCAGCACGAGTCGCGTTGTGCTAAGTGAGCCCGGTTTATGCGAAATTGATATTTTGTTTTATAGTCAATTGCGACCGTTCTATTTGTTTGCAGAAATATTTTGAGCTGAGTTCGTACCTTTATAACTTTATAATTACAAGATAAAGCGGTATTAATAATTAGTAAGCATTACAGACAATCGAGAATGTTCTTACAATACTTTGTGGGGAAGATTGTTAGGAACTGCGTGATGCCGGTATTTTGAGCTTTACTAAAACTTAAAACTATTATATGCAAACACTTGTAATCTTTTTGAAGTGAAATTAAATTTGGCTTGAAGTACATACGCATGTGGCACGGCCGGAGGGGATGAACATGATTTATAATTTTTTGCGTGCACACAAATTTTAAAAGTGACGAAATCTTAGTTTATTAGTCGTTCAATTTTGGTAAAATGTAGCGGATTTTCAACAAATTTCAACGTGTCTTGATTTGTTTTCTTATTTCAGCAAGACTACGGCCTATGCAGCTTGGAAATCTTTAACCTTAAAACTGCAGACACGGGAGAGTATACTTGCACCGCAAGAAACGCCTACGGGGAAGCAACGACAAGTGCTTACCTGCGGGTTACAGGTAAAACCGGAAAAAAATTTTTATAGTAATGCTTTGGCTGGAAATTGCGTCAGTGCATTATTGTACGCATTCGATATAGCATATCAAAGTACAACTTATAATAGTTTTTGTTTATACAGTTCTTGAATACTCTAATTTGGCGCGAGAAGCTGAGAATCAACTTGCAATAAAAATGTAATGTAAAATGTTGTACAAGGATGTCTCGTTAATAGGAACACCTCCGTTTTCCCCGAAAATTGTTCATAATGTGAGTTGTCCATAATAACGAGACAAAAATGCATGTATTTTCCCAGTTTGTCCCCGAAAGTGGAATCCATATAGCGAGCATCCATATTAACGAGACATGAGCGTAATATGATGTAGATCCGCGCGTTCACGACAACCAGTGCTGCCAACTTCAGCGATTTTTTCCTAGATGGAGGGATACGTAGAATCGTTTAGGGGCAAAGGGAAATTTCTTGAAATCTAGGGATTAATTTTTTAATGGGTTTCAGAGGGCTTTAGAGACGTGTCTCTTCCCATTTTCCTTCCCGTGGCGGTCGAGCACAGCGGGAAGACGGCTTCTTTGTATATTGTCGGGCCCAGTGATAATCTTTAGTGGTAGCAACGGCGATTTGGGGGGGGGGGGGGGGCACACAAGGCCAAAGTAAAAAAGTTTAGTTATGTAAAATGATCCAACGAAGCAAATTTAGCCTTTCAATGGCCACCGAACCACAGGAATTTATTCTTAATTTACTCCATAACGATAATCCCAATATTGAAGCAAATTAAAATGTTTCTTGGAAATCTAGGGAAGTCGAGGAAATTTTCCGATAAAAATTGGTGAAGAAATGACGGCGGAGGTTGCCAGAAATGACGACGAGGTACAAAAGTCTGATGGCGTGAATTATGACTACTGGGGTGAATACTCAAGACTGCACAAAAAGGAACCAACACGTGAATACAGTGTTTCAGACACTCGGATCGACTTGCAATTTATACAACATGTCATGTCACCTCACTGCAGAAGACGTGAAAATCCGAACGTTGGTCTTGGCCTAACCTTAATTATCCCTTTCTTCAATAGCTGATTTGAGTTAGGAGGTAACAAATAGCATTTTGGGAGAGTGAAAACTAGGTATTTCGAAGATGTGCTTATTTTGGGTAGCTAGGTGGCTTTTGGGTAGCGCATTCAAAGCAGACCAACTTACTACTTTTCTTCATCGCAGAAGAAAAATATAAACTTAATCGCATGCACATATGTACATATTACGGCCATTTTATTGAAATAAAATATATTGTGTTATGGCCTTTTATATTAGAAGAGACGAAGAGGGTTTAACATATCATGTGTATTTCGGCGTTGGAGTTACCCTTTTAATGTACTATGCCTTACGTTAAGGTGCAGATAAATTGAACAGAAAAAAAATTCATATGACCTTCACGTGGGTCAATGTTAGACGCTACATTTTAAACTGTGCGTTTAAAACACTGAATTAATTTTGGTCAATAACCCCATGCGTTTTCGCCTCAGGTGAAAGGGATCTGACGCCCGAAGAGCCGAAGTTTGAATCTTGCGCCCCTGACCTCACTGTTCGGGCTGGAGGAAAAGCCGTGTTTTCGTGGAAAGCCAGTGGCTCTCCTCTTCCGACCCTTAAAGTGTGAGAGCAAGATTTACTTTCTTCTCGCTTCACACATTTTTGACACAGATCGATACTGCGAATATTTTTGATGCCATTTCCCTTTTGCGAATAATGTACCAAGTGTTAAGCAATACGCGAACAGCTGGAAATCTAATGTTTATTTATATCTTAATTCAAGATGCCCCAAACTACCATAATCGTCATTCGATTGGTGTACATCCACAAAAACATTTTAAGTAAGAAACAAAAATATACATGATCACATTATGAAACCAGTGGTAGAAAAATAGTACAAAACATAAACATCATCTCGAGTTAAGAACGAATTACTTGGCAGGTGGCGGAACTCAGAGGCATGTGTACAGATGTGGATATCCGGAGTTGCGGCAGGGTTATGAGAAAGTTAATGGCGGTTATGTTGAAATACCAAAGAGTGGTTTACGTCTGACAGTTCATCTGTGAAACTTGTGTTTCTGAGGAGCTCAGAGTAATCCACCGTCATTAGATTTAAAACTATCTATAAGCATCGTGCTGACAAAAGACAACAAACCACGTGAAATCTATGCCACCATTGGTACTGTGTAGTTACTTTTTTGGCAGTCATTCTTGCCTAGTTGAATAAGAGGATGATTGAAACAAGAAAGGTTAGTCTAAAAGCGTGCTCTCGGAAAGTGCTTTGCACTGGGGGCAAGGAAATAGAGAGAAAACAATTGGCAATAAAATATGAGAGAAATAATCGACAATGATAATGATTAGATATCTTATTTGTCTTTGAAGGGTCTCAATGTCCGTTGTCGAGGTTCCATACCTTGTTCCACTTTAAGCTCGTAGGCAGCCGACCCAACCAGCTAATGAGTCCACTCGTATTCCATCGAAGGATCGCCAACATGATGTTTGTCACGTTTCTGTGCGTGATCCATCGTCGCTGAACAAGTCAAGTACATGGAAGGCCGGGTGCCTGCTCTTTAAATAGCGTTTCACTGGTTCCATAAGCTGGTAGCTTCGGCTACGTCCGGAATTAAGGGGGAACGAAGTAGAACACACGCTTTATTTCTTCCAGGACGAAGGACTCGAAGCCGCTTAGGACTAACTTGACAACGGATGTGATCATCAGTAGGGACGGCATCTGCCGGGTCTGCCTTCAGAAGGTGTCGCCCGCCGATGCCGGAGTCTACACGTGTACCGCCGAAAACGACTCTGGAACGGCTGCTTCCACCAGCATCCTTGAGATTGCTGGCCTGGGTGTGTAGTATTTCTACAGGGGCATCCCGAACGCTAGTCAGGCGTAAATAAATCATCATTAGGCCAGTGAACGGAGCAAAACAAAACACTTCCTCAAAGGTGTCCTTTTGGTGGTGCATATATACATCATACTGAAATGTTGTAAGTGTGAGTTTCTGGAAACAATATATGATTAAAAACGTGCTATTTCTATGAAAAGGAACGACACCCGGGAACAAACCTTGTGGTTGACGCTGTTACCCTCATATAATACCACACACGCTCAAATCCGCGGCATCTGCTTTCAATGTCTCAATATTTTATTTTATGTGGGAACATTTGCGTGTATCAGTATGACCGAGACGGTTTATGTTTTTCTTTCTGTGCTCAAAAATAACAGGAATTTGTGATTTTATTCGTTTTAAAGAAAGCTGCACAGCTCAAATATCTGTATATTAAATGCAAAAAACACTGCTGTGAAATGTTTTGTTACACGTTGTTCATAGGCTTAATTTAGGTATTTTAAAGTCTTATAGCGCTTGAAAACACCAGGTATAATTCGTGGGGCCGGTCACTGTGCTAGTCAAACAAAACAACAGTTGCTGGCGAGCTTACAAAGTAACAGGTTTATAGGATATTATTTAACACCGGAGAGCATGTTCTTGGAGATGCATCGAATTGTAGTGTAGTGTAGTCTTTCATGAATGAAAGTTTCAAATGGAGACTGGTTTTGAAAGAGATGCACTCTCCTTTGAAATTTAATTAATTTTCTTTGTATAATTGCTACTGTACCGCTCGTTCAGACCTAACTATTTAATAACTGTTCTTAATTGTTTTTAAACGGCAAGCGACAAAGACAACATACAAGATGAAAGAAAAAAATTCCACAAGATTGACACCGCTATTTGGTCTCCAGACACTGCATGCGCAATGTTTGCTAAACAACGCATGTGGCGAATAACAGAAACATATATATTTTGTAGAATAACTTCTAGACTTTATGAAGATGAGTGTTCTACCGAAAAGTAGACGCAATATCATTTCCAAGTTCCAAGCACATAAAAATTTTAAAAAATCAAAATAACTACAAAATACGAGAGGCGTTTCTCGACTTCCAGAAAATGATAATAATAAGTGTCGTTTTTGCTAATACAACACACATGCGGTGTTACAAAAAAAAAAAACTGAAAAAAAGCATGGCTGGGGAAATTCGAAGCTTTTTCGAAATCAGTTGAAGGTTTTACAGTGATTATTGCCCATTTACGTGTATTATTGCAATACGTACTTTTTTATTCGATGCAAAAAAAAAAACTTTTAAAAATTGTTTATTTCGTCCAATCATAGCACGCAAAATAAATAAAACATTATTTATGCACAAAAGGCGTTGGACTGTACATAAAATCAATAATGTCGACGTTTTTGCTTCGAATATTTTCAGAGGAAGGCAGCAGCGACTTCCAAGAAGAACGACGCCGACTCGAGAAAATGCACGTTGACGACAGACGAAGTAAGCAATATTCATTGTTCTCCACTTTACCTAATAAAACTCGATGTACGATTTATATTTGACATATACTCCCTCGCTCCGCTGTCTTACTCTTGTTTAAAGGCTGACCAAACTTACAGCTGATTCGTGATACATAAACCTAGTGGCTTCTGACAAAAATGCATTTGGTCTTCTTATAGGTGGACGAACTCTCCTGACTTATTTACCGTGATTATTTTATCGTTACAACATTCAAGTTTGCTTTTATTCACTTAGATGCCAACAGTATACAATAACACAAAAGAATCCTCGTACTCATGTCCGCTGATTTAGGTGGCCCATATTTTGTTCAAAAACAGACTATGCTAAGAATAAAATGTTTAAATTAAGGGGGTTCAGAAACTACTTATCTTGATTTTTCGTCAGTTCACTGGGTGGTAGAAGGCGGCAGAGCAAACGTAGCTACAAATTAACCGTTTCAGTTAGAGCAAGTACCACACTAAAATCAGGTACCGGAAATGGCAATCTCGATTGTCGTATTTAGTTCTCAAATGTGGCCTCTCATGTATCGTTCCGAATTGTCTTTTCTTTTTAAGTATATCTCAATATGACTTCTCCTCAACAAATGAAGCTACAGCTGAGTACGTTTCCTTCGACGCAGATGCATCAGAGGCCGTTGAAAGAGCGTCAAGGTTGGCCGATCCCCCGTATGTCTTATCTCCTGAAGAAAACAAAGACGATTACTACAAGTAAGACGATGTTCGACATTCGTCTTCAGGAGGTTTGCCAATCGAGCTTGCGGTTTTTAATATGAAAACTCATTGAATCCTCAGGTCACGAAGAAATTTCAGGACTTATGGCATGCTGGGATTGAACTACTTGGAAGATGTCCCTAGGACGAGTTATGAGCCACGCAGTAAGTAATTTGTTTAATGGCGTATACAGTCTCGAACTGTGAAAGAGACGCACTCGCCTCGCAGGTAACGAAGCAGTGCTAAGCACACTTTGGCGAAAGGCGCTATTTGGTAGAGAGAGAGAAGGGAACAAAGGTGGGCACTTATATGCTCGACCGAAGCGATGTATGCCTGGCTGACGTGAATCCTGCAAAGCCACCTGATATTTTATCCTTGAATGGGTCTTTTAGATTTTTGGGGACGGTAAACACTTAAACTATAGTAGAAATACCTATGAATAGGTAGGCGAGCTGGAGAACATTTAAGGTCTTGAACACCCGAAACTTGGGAGCAAATAAGTGTACGACACAACACATGCCGCTAATTCAGCACTCTGCCGTTCTTATCTAGGAGATGTTAACTTTCATCAGCTCCCAGAGTTTGAGGGCACGCGTTTCATGAGCTTTGACTGCATTGACAAAGAATTGTGTCCCAAGCACCTACCCGGCTCGATCGAAAAAATTAACCCCGGTTTTCTGTAACCCGGCCTATAAACTACAGACAGCAGAACGCTGTAACCCCTTCAATATGTAACGCTGGCAGTGGTGATACAATGCGATAGTTTGTGTACATGATATTATCAAGATTAAAAACGCCAGATAAATATACGTGTATTTTTTATAAGTCGACCACCACCTACGTCAAACCAAATCAAATGAGAAAATATCACTGCGAGCTTCTGTAGCATTTATATCATTGAAAGAACAAATTATCAGTAAGTAAGAATACAACGCGTTTTTTCTTTGCAAAGACGTATTTTCCACTTACATAAATGCTACAGACGCCAGCAGTAGCATGTCTTTAGTTCATTAATACCATTTATACTAGACTCACATGAACGTCGGCTCAAACAAAAATGTAGTTTTTCCCTCATATATTTTGATCCAGCTAATGTCATGTTCTCCAAGGTTCTACTTCCAGGCTCAGCAGTAGCGACACATTCGCGGTGTTTTAAATTTCTGCTAAGCGTCGTTTGCTTATGTGGGCCAAAAAACCCTGCTTCATCTTCTCAATTGAACCAGGTACTTGGTGCCTCCTCAAGTCAGAGCGCAGCCGATGTTATAAGCCGTCCTGACCATTCAAAAAGCGTCTAGGGCGCAACGTCATGGCGTTTGTCATATTTTATCTATGTGTTCATCAATTAAGTGCCGTGACTTGCGCTTTCAATATTTATGCCCTGATGAAACATTCGCGTGGTTCTTTCTGTGCGGTCTCAAGCACTCTTTCCAGAGCGCACAAAATCGAGGTCGTACGACGCTGCCTCTTTTTTTCTTTTCTGTTTTACATGTCGGTGCGTAGAACAGTTCGTAGTCCGTCACAGCCGTTATTTCATCACGTTGGGAGCGTACAGTTTTGCTTAATTTTCCGTCGTACTCTGCAAAATATTTTTTTTGTTATTAATTTACCCATATCAAAAAGTTTTACTTCTATGACTTGCCCAAGAATGTCAGAGCGCTTTGAGCCCTGCAGTGGGGATCGCCTGAAAAGCATCTCGAGTTGATCTGGCGGCGAGGAAGAAGGGCTCCGTTGAGTCAAGGTCAGAGGACAGAGGCGACCACTCGAATTCACCATATTCGTGACCATTCCACAGAAAGTTGGCTATACAGAGACGTACTAAGCCTTGATCACAGTTTTGTTCCAATACATTAAAAATTTAATGGACTACAATATCGTCGATGAGAGCACGTGAAAACCCTTGATTACTAGGTACAAAAAATGTTCGGACATAAACCAACTTCGGCATTACTTAGTCAAAGCCCGATACCGCTGCTCAGAGGGACATTGAATGCGCAGAAAAGAACAATTGTTAGGTGTCTAAAGAAGATACGCTTGGAAACAAAAACAACTAAAATACTAATATGACGAAAATAATCTCTGTCCAGCTCGCTTGCAACTTTGCATTTTAATTGCATTATCAACAAGAATAAAGTACAGTAGGTGTTTTTTTTTTTTTTTGTTGTTTTGTTTGTTTCGTGAGACACACTTTGAGTTACGAGCGAAACAGAAACACGCTATTGTTTCTAGAGTCGACACCAAAATACAAGCGTGTTGTGGGATCACCTTCTAGAGGCGTTGATCTTAACCATAAAAGGGTGTCTTGGTTCCTGTATAGGACACGTGTACGACAAAGGAAGCTTATCCGGTGACAAAACAAACAGATATTAGCGTCATCTTTAAGTAGCGAGACCTTTCTTTGGAGGGGTCTGAATTGATTGCTATGCATGTTTCTATTAGGTGATCAAATTTTATAAAGTGCTAGCTTTTTTGTTTTGTTTTTATTTTTTTATAATGCACAGGACATATCAGCAATTTCACAATGTGCAACGACCTGGAAAATAATAAGGGTAATGTTTATTTAGGAATACAACTACAAATACACACTCAGCGACCCACTAAAGTGTAGAAAGCTTGTACGTGGTGGAAAAAGGATCTGTAGAGAAAGACAGACGAAAAGCGACTACGTCTGACGCATTCCAAAATCGAACTGATCTTCTTGTTTTTATTTGCACGCGATCTTCTTCTTCTTTTCTCAGTGGCTATCGCCACATAGCCCCCCTTTGGAGACGCAGTCGTCCCAGTGAACTGTCCTGGAGTGTTTGATGCGGGTCGCGTGTGCTACTGTTGAGCTCGAGGTGGCTTGCACGCTGGGAAGATCGGTCGGCTGAACGATCGTATCGCTCTCAACAAATGCTGGCTTGAGGCGGTCAACGGACACGACCGTGTCGCGGCCATTAACTCGCAGCGTGAATGTTTTTTCGCCACGTGCCACGACGAGGTGGGGACCAGTGTAAGGTTGCTGGAGCGAACGGCGGACGCTGTCGACGCGCAAAAACACGTAGCCACTGTTGTGCAGGTCGCGATGGAAGAAAGGAGGCTTGCTCTGGCGTGTCCGCGTCGGTGTAGCGCGCACGTCACCGAACAGACGGGCTAAGTCTTCCACGTAAGGCAATCCTGCAGTCATCGTAGGGCCGCCGTGGGTCGGAGTGGTAGGGCTGACCAATTCAGCTGGGAGGCGCAGCGATGTTCCATAAACTAGATGTGATGCGGCACACCCGAGGTCTTCCTTTATGGCTGTGCGCCACCCTAGGAGGACGATGGGTAGAGACGTGGCCCATTTATCTGGTGTGGAGTGGGCCATGAGGGAGGCCTTGAGATGGCGATGGAACCGCTCAACCAAACCATTTGCCTGAGGGTGGTAGGCTGTGGTCTTCAAGTGAGCGATGCCAAGAAGAGTTGTCAAGCTTCGGAAAATGGCCGATTCGAATTGGCGTCCGCGATCGGTCACGATTTCGGCGGGAACCCCAAAGCGGGAGATCCAGGTGGACAGAAGCGCAGAGGCGACAGTCTCGGCAGTGATGTCTTTGATGGGACAAGCCTCCGGCCAGCGCGTGAACCTGTCGATGGCGGTTAGGAGGTACCGGTAGCCCTGCGATGACGGTAGGGGTCCGATGAGGTCCACGTGAATGGTGGCAAAGCGCGTGTCGGGAAGTGCAAACTTTGCCAGAGGCGCGATGGTGTGCCGGGACACCTTACTCTGCTGACAAGCAATGCATGTTCGTGCCCACGCGCGGACATCAGTGTTCATGCCATGCCAGACAAATCGTTCCGCGATTAGATTTTGAGAAGCGCGGATGCCTGGGTGTGAGAGAGCATGAAGGTTGTTGAAGATCTGACGCCGAAGTGGTAAGGGCAGATAAGGCCGTTTCCGTCCGGTCGCCGGGTCGACGTCGCAAACGATGTTGTGCCCAAGTCGGAGAAGTAAACGTCCTCAAGATGGAGAGAGGAGGTTGGGGAAGAGCGAAGGTTGCGGAGCTCTTCGTCACTCTCCTGTAGAGCAGGGAGTTGTCTAAGGTCACACCCGCGGTACTGAACTGCGGAGACGCGGCTGAGGGTGTCGGCGGGGATGTTGTGGACGCCCTTGATATGCTGAATGTCGGTAGAAAATTCACCTAGGAATGCCAAGCGTCGCGTCTCTCTCGGAGAGTATGTGGCCTTAGATGATCTGAAGGCATTGGTTAGTGGCTTGTGATCTGTAAAGATCACGAACGATCGTCCTTCCAGGAAGAATCTGAAGTGCTTGATGGTAAGGTAAGCCGCGAGGAGTTCACGGCCGAAGGCACTATATCGTTGCTCGGTTGGTGTAAGTTTCTTGGAGAAAAAACCAAGTTGGAGCCACTCGTTGTTGACGCGTTGTTGCAGCACCCCTCCTACTGCGTATCCAGAGGCATCAACCATCACGCTCGTGGGGGCGTCGTGCTCTGGATGAACTAAGAGGGTAGCAGAAGCGAGACGCTCTTTGATGGTAGTGAAAGCGTTGTCTGCAGCGTCGGACCAGTCAACCGTGGCTGTTGTACCCATCGTGGCTTGAAGGAGCGCTTCTAGGGGAAGTAATATTGCCGCGCAACCTGGGATGAACCGCCTGTAGTAATTCACCAGGCCCAGAAAACGGCGGAGCTGGCGGAGCGATTCTGGACGTGGGAAATCGGTGATCGCTTTCAGCTTGTCGGGAAGAGGTCGGATGCCATTGGAGTCTACCACGTGGCCCAGGAATTCCAAGGACGGGACGCCGAACGCACATTTTTCTGCGTTGATGATCAGGCCATGTTCATCGAAACGCTCGAATACTAGGCGCAGGTGGCGTAGATGTTCCTCCGGCGACGAGCTGGCGACAAGAACGTCATCGACGTAGGCGAAAACGAAAGGTAGTCCGCGGAGAATGGCGTCGATGAAGCGTTGGAAGCTTTGCGCCGCATTTCGCAAACCGAAAGGCATCCGGGTGAACTCGAAAAGTCCAAACGGTGTGACGATTGCGGTTTTCTTTACGTCTTCGGGAGCGACCGGGATCTGATGGTACGCTTTCTGTAGGTCGAGTTTCGAGAATATGGTACACCCGTTCAGGTTGGTGGTGAAGTCCTGAATGTTGGGGATGGGGTAACGGTCGGGGACTGTAGTCACGTTCAAG